TTTATTGTGTCTCTCGTAGGAGAAAAGCTGGTGATCGGCTTCACTACTCGAGCTACACTCAACAGGCTCCTTGATGCAGGAGACATTACAAGTGCAGAGGTTCCAGCAGGCAGCAGTGGCGTTTCTGGTGAGGGCTGTGGAGTATGCCATGAAGAAACTCCACATGAGAGAGCTCCTGATAAAACATGCCATGTTTCTGGATGTCCAGCAGAGGGTAGAGTGTGGAGTGGAAGACGCCTTGTACTTTGTCGACAGGTTAGTTGGGGTATCAAGTCAACTACGTTTATCTATAGTGCCAAATCACAACACAAGTTATCTCAATATACTTAATAAGTAGAGCAGGTTAAAGACTCTTGGCTCTTGTCACATTTTCTTAACATTTTCTTAATAGATTGTAAAGTTTAATGACCACATCTGAAAAACAACCCGTTTCAGCTACATTACTTTACCAGATCAGTGCACATTGTGTTCTTTTTAGGTTTCCTGAACTTCTCCCATACAACGGACCTGACTAGCGTGACAAACTGAGTGAGGAGTTTCTGGACTACCAGTCCATGGACATTGCCATGCCCGAAGACCCAGCCACGTTCGACATTGAGAGCTTTTGGGGGAACTTGGCATCAATGAAGAAGAAGGTAAGAATTATTCTGCACCCTTTGAAATACCCATTGACGTAATCAACTTAATTCTATACAAAAATACTTGAGAGTAATTAGGCTTCCTACATTTTTCAAAGGTGACCGGTATGAGCAGATTTGGGAGGCTCTCCCGTATTACCAAGTTGGTGTTGGTACTTCCACATTCAAATGCTGATGCTGAACGAGTGTTCTCTGTGGTGGGACTGAACAAAACCCGAAAAACTGTTTTGCTCTTGATGGAACTCTATCATCCATCATGACTGTGAAGATGGCAAACCTTGAGCCACAGTGTTTCAAATGGGAGCCCCCTCCCTCTGTCATCAAGGCATCAACACCTACAACATGAGACATGTCATGTAAACCAAAACACACAAACAAAGACATGCACTTTATTTATTTATAATATATATATTATATATATATATATATATATTATTCTGGTTCTAATTTTGTTACTCTTAAAAAAAAATGCACTAAAGGAAAAGGCTGCTATTGGTTCTTAAAAGGCTGCTATTGTTTTCTTTATATTGACATTTTATAAATAAATGTATTTTATTTGTCAAACTTTTATTTGATACAATTGTTTTCATTTCTACTTGTGCTGGTCAATTATTAACACTATATAAGCATGAGGAGGCCGACAGTGCAGGGAGAGCAGCTGGCATGGGGGTGAAGACATCACAACAGTCTTAATGTTCATTTAAATTGAGATATTCCTCTAAATCGGCGTTAAAAAAGGCAACAAAAAAAATCAAAACGCATCTTCCCCCGAAAGTCTCACTCCTACTTTTTACTGAAACTTGGCAGTCCTGTTAAAGCACGTTATTGAATTTTATTATTTTATTATTAGATATTAATAGGATCCCTATAAAGTATATTCATTACTCATTATTCTCTACTAATAGTTCATTAAAGACTGTATATAATGACTAGTTTGCACATCCCTTTCAAGATTTTCTAAGCTAAGGTTTATTGACATATCATATTATACACAACTACTGTGTAGTTATGCAATGAATGAAAAACTTGGGTCGCAGGTTCCTCAACAGTGCATTACAAGCCATCTATCAATATGTGTGTATACTCCACCATTAAACTGTCATTCTGCACATTTCTTATACTATCTACATACATCTTATAAGAGTATAATACATATGTATAATATCAGTTTAATAATAAACAAATAATAAACAAATAAGTGCTTAAACATAGTTAACATTGCAGGAAAGCAATATATTAGACGTTAAGTACTTTGTCAGGCTTAATATTTATCTGTAGATACAAATGTCACTGTGTGCTCTGCATGTGTGACCATTAAAGAATCAGAATCAGAATACATTTATTAGTTCCACAGAGGGGAAATGTGCAGCGTTACAGCAGGAAAGAGCCACATACAGCTTAGTGTTGCATATCTTACATGCGTTAAAAAAGTACTAAGTTAGAATAAAATAAACAATATGCTGAAAAAAAGTTACATAATTTTCAAAAATACAGATCAAAAACAAAACGGCATATATATATTGCACATATAGCTAATATTGCACAAAGTTGGTTTGTATTTAGCAGCAAGGGGTGTTATAGTCTGTGTTGTGGTGTGTGTAGGAGGGTCTACTAGGGGCAGTGCTGGTTGTAAAGTCTGACCGCTGCAGGAAGGAAGGACCTGTGGTTTCAAGAGGGTTTCATCCCTCCATATTCTTCTTAAAGCTTTTTTCTTATTCAAAATAAGACCTTAACCTAAAGTACTCTTTAATGTTTAAATTAAGCCTTATTAGTTTGTCTGTTTTGCACATCCTCCTATTAATATCTAATAATAAAATAATACAATTCAATAACGTGCTTTGACCACCTTTCTATCAGCTGTGCACGGTTATGGTGTAAATACAGCCTATCTACCAATTGGATCAAATATAAAAGTCAGCCGAATTAGTGTTGATACTGCAAGGAGACGTATTGTGTGAAAATAAATGTAAGATGTTGTTTAATTGCTTATATATTTATGATCCACGTCACATCTTCAGTTTTGGCGGCAGTTCTCCTGTTTGTCCAGAAGTCTTCTCAGCAGACTTAATAGAGAATTACGGCAGATATGTAATATTTAATGCAGCTGAGGATCTTGCCTACGTCTGTTTCCGGTTTCATTTAATGACCGATGTATTTTGTTATACACACATTCCTTCACATTTACATTTTAATGTGCATTAACCTGTTAAGCCCGAAGGTCCCCGCCGGCGGGGACCCTGGGTCTTTTTTTCACGATACTGTGTCTCAGGGGATCTTAATATTTAAGAACCTATTAATGTGTTATACCAGATTAACGGAAATAATCTCAGCTAACTGCCGATACAAACCATGTTTACCAAAACAAAACACAAGTCTCACAAGAAGCATCTAAATTACCCCGGAGTGAAAAATGCTAACGGACATTGGCACAGAACTCAAGATAAAAGTACCCTTATTACTTATCATAGCTGCACTTACAATATATCCGATTAAAGCTGAGACTCCATAGATTATGTAGGTATATAGTATCATCACTGAGTGATCCGGACTCGCGACAGGGGAAGCAAATACAGTCATCACAACACGTACCTTTACGAAGCTTCTAGGGAGATCGTCTCACAAGTAGCTGTCAATCTGATCAAAGTACGTGTTCAATGGCATTAAAATGAGAAAAAACGCGGCTGAATCTGTTAATCCATAGGTTCTTAACGTCCATGTATAAAAAACTGATTACATTTATAATCCATAATTTCATTTTTATGTAAAAATCGGAGAGTAAATGCTAGCTGCTAATGGTAACCACCACAGCTAGCTGCTGCTTCGTCTCGGCGATGCAGCAGTCTTACACATACACATGACCAAATAAGGACTATGTGGGAGTTCCCCTCGATTCCATTGGCTCTGACTGTCAGAAAGAGATGTCAAAATCGAGCAAGGGGGGGCCATAGATATGGAAAATCCACCCAAATGGCCCCAGAAGAGGTTTTTTTTTGCTAAATATGTCTAAAAAGGTCAAATATCACTTGTTTTGCATCAATCTTGATACAGGGTACTTATTATATGTTGTACTTTGGATTCCTAAAGCTTTTAGTCTACTAACCCATCATCCAAGGTTAGTTTTCACCATAAGTACAAAATATTTTTTGGACGGACACTATAATTTACGTTTTTTTACCATGTTCAATCTGAATTTTCTTTAAAATAAAAAACATCTATATTGAATCTGACTTTTCTACATCCAACTCACAGGTTTATCATTACTTTGAGAAAAAAGATTATTAATTTAACCCTTTTAGAAGGGAAGATATGGTCATTTGTTCTGGGAATGTCATTTTCGAGCCTGAAACCTGAAAAACAGCCTCAGGGTTTAACAGGTTAAAGTATTTCGTGAGGCCTTCTAACATGTTTTTAAATATAACTACGGTTGTAGTTGAATAGTTTGTAAGTTAACATGAACCGAAGCTGTTGCTTGGCAACTCAATCGCACAACGTCACGTCCGTTAATTCCACATCCACACGCACGGATTAACATCGATTTAATACATTAATGTAGCCTTTGTTTCTGCTAAAAGAGGTGTCGACCAGCTGGGGCAACAAGAAAATCGCCGTAATCGAGTGTGACTATTACAAAATAAATCATTACGTCGGGGTAGCTTGGTATTTCCGGTTATTTCTCCACTGGTTAACATGGGTTAACAATACCGTGTAGCTGTCACGTTTGAAGGGGACGAAACCGTGACATCTTCACGTCTCCCAGCATGGTAAATCGGCACATGTTCACGTCTTGCCGTGATACCGGGTTGTAATAAGTACCAGGGCTGCCTCTTGCCAACTTGTGGCCCCACGCAAAGTGATGTGATGAGGCCCTCTGTGTCTCTGAGGATTATCAGTAATCATTTCAAAGTGACACAGAGACATTGGATTAACCTTCAGCAGCGTTTGTATGCGTTTTAATGCCAATGAACACAACTTTTGATCAGAAAACAGCAACGGTTTTGTTTGTGCAATATTGTTGTGCATGGGGCTTAACTGGCTAAGTGACTACTACATTCAACTGACTCCTTTTATTCTCAATTAAAGGTTCATTCCATTTTAATATACATCACAATTGTATTCCCGAGAAAAACATTGAACTTTTATGAAAAATATTATGTACAATATAATTTCTGAAAGATAAATCTTCCAATGTTGACATTTCACTAAATAGGCAACGTTTGCAATTGTTCTCATTATAAATGTGTAAAATGATTATTCACTGAACACACTTTACAGTCCAGTGCACAGTTCTCCTTTTACTAAGAATATTCACCCATGGTTAGATTGTATACCCATCATAAATATAAATAAATTACTACGAGTTAGTTTATTCTCTCAATTTGAGGTACAAACCACTTTGTTTAATAGTATTGACATTTTTTAACACAAGGGATTATACCCTTAATAATTAAATGGATTTACATTTTCATACAGGACTTCAAGTTTTTGATGATACTAAAAAAGGATCAGATAAATTGTTCTTAAGCTATCACAAGGACAGAGGCTCTCAAAGTGAGGTGGGTGGCTCTTAAAAGAGCCTTTGTGTGTTTCAGTCAGATGAGTTTATCCCCCGAAGCCGTACAGGGTGCGGCCCTGCCTCTTCAGAGCGTACACCACATCCATGGCGGTCACCGTCTTCCTCTTGGCGTGCTCGGTGTAGGTGACGGCATCGCGGATCACGTTCTCCAGGAACACCTTCAGCACCCCGCGGGTCTCCTCGTAGATCAGACCGGAGATACGCTTCACTCCGCCGCGGCGAGCCAGACGGCGGATGGCGGGCTTGGTGATGCCCTGGATGTTATCACGGAGCACTTTGCGGTGGCGCTTAGCGCCTCCTTTGCCGAGTCCCTTTCCGCCCTTTCCTCTTCCAGACATAATTGCAGAGTTATGATGTACTCACTATGGATATCGCCCATATTTAAAGCTGATATGCGGACCTGGTTGAAGACACCCTGGTTAATTCTAGCCCGCCATTTTGTCCTGTTCCTTTGTTCCCTCTCTGCTGCTCTTTTCACACACCGTGAGCGGATGCGTTTCCGGTTACGACAACCATCCTTCAAAATAAAAACCAGCAAATGGTTTCACAATTTCACATTTTGACACAAGCAATAAAATCATCTAATAATGTCGTTTGTATCTCATTTATTTAGTGCATGTATTACACCATATTAACCTCCAACATTGCATTTTGTAGGCCTGATGCTAACCAACTGCTATTTAGTTTTTTTATATAATTATTTCACATTTAAATGTAATATTTACATAAACTTATATATTAAGATATAGTTAGAAATGGTATATGTATCTTAAAGTTAGTGATATTTTATTATTAAAACTGGTTTGCATGTTTCTCAAATACTTCCTCAGAGACAGAGTTAGGGTGTGTAGTTTTGTAAAATATTATAACAACTCAAAGATATTGTTAAGGACATGTCAAACTTTCAGAGCAATTGAAAGTACATACTACATTTCTTATAAATGTTGTCGACCACAAAATACAAGGCGACCAGGCAAAACCACATATTGTGAAACACGCCCAGACACAGAAATGTAAGTGAAAATAAATGCAGAAATACATTAAAGATATATAATAATGTGTGTTCTGTATTATTCTCACATTTTATTTGTGTATTTATATTCCTGTTTTTTCCCTGTATTTCTGCATTTCATGTATTTGTTTACTCGTGTCACGCTCTTTCCTGCATAGCTGTGTACTCGTTGTGCGCATAAAGGTACAAATTCACTCAAAATCACAGCGGGAACTTTAGTTGGGCGTTCGTTGTTTTGGGCTCAACACATACCTTATTTTGGTTTCAAACCCTGCTTAAGTTTTGCACCAAATGACACATCCCCATTGTAGCCATCCACAGACAGATGGGAGAGGACGAGGGAGAAAATGAAATGCAGGAAGTGTTGATTGGCCGAGAAAAGACAGACAAAGTGAATTAAGAGTGAATGCCAGTGTTTTCAGGTAGAATCAGCATGTGGGCCGTGGCTCAGGTGGAAGGCAGCTGACTTCCAGCTACATGTAATAATGTAGTTAATACATGTATACGTTGATGTTGTTGAGCCTTTCTGAGGCTATAACTTCGTAAAGTTGAAAAATAATATTCAGGAATAGAAATCCCTCTTTACAAAAGTGTCTGTTTGCAGTGTTTCCCAGCCTCCTTAGGCTTTTCAATCGTTACACTTGAATAAATACAATATTGATTACATGAAAATATGATTGAATCTTCATGGTTCAGTTATTCTAAGGCTTTCCTCATTGGGAACGGAAAAAGAAAGGTCACGCTGTTGAGATGTCTCATCTCAGTGGCAGAATAGTATAGTCATAACAATACTTATAATAATTGTATTTACATTCAATACAAACTAAATATTTAGGATTAAAAACTCACTTAATAAAATACACAAAACATCATTATTCATGTATGAATTATATTCTTTAAATACTGTTTATAGCTCTACTATTTTCTGCTTGACTACATTATTGTTATAGAGATACATTTCCATTATTCATTGAATTCATTTGAATATAAAATGTACCCAAAATACATTTAGATTAATAAGGTGAAGTTTCATTTATTATTTATTCATGATATTTAATTAATAAATGAAACCCTAAAATAACACGTTGATATTGGTCCTGCTTTTCTACTGGCCGGACTTTCATGTGATTATTTACTAACCTGCTATATATCATTTAAAATGAGCATATTTAGTAGTTTCACTGATTGTGAGGAATATACAGTATTACTTCAAACTAGTAGTCGCTTATAAAAACACTATGGTCGATTTCAAAGTGTTTGCATTATAACCAATTTCTATGGAAATGTCTATAATAATTATAATATACTTTGTATTAGCTAACATATAACTTATACTTTCGTCCAAATCAACTGAAAATAAGTGCAGAAACCGAATGTATGTTTGTATAAATATACCTTTATATCCAGATTGTATTGTTAAATAAAGCAAACTAATGTAAATGTTCCAGGTCAGGTACTAGTACAATGTACTTCAGATAATATTGGAATATTGAGGTAAATTCCATGTGGTATGAAAGCACAACATGGAATATTAGAATATATAGTGTGTCATGTGGTGATGTACACAAAACATGTATGTTTTGTTCAAATTGTATTTATGCTAAATTATATATTATTATATAGGAGAGTGCTCTTTCGGTGTATGTGGGTGGCTCTTAAAAGAGCCTTTTGGAGATGAAGTAGAGGATCTGTTTACTTCCTCGATGCTTTCCTGGCTGGTGCCTTCTTCACAGCTTTCTTGGGGGTCGCTGTCTTCTTGGGGGTCGCTGCCTTCTTGGCCGCCACCTTCTTCTTCGGGCTCTTAGTGATCTTCTTCACGGGGGTTTTCTTGGCAGCAGTAGCCGGCTTCTTCGCTACCTTCTTGGGAGTTACTGCCTTCTTGGCAGCTGGCTTCTTAGCGGCGGGTTTCTTCGCTGCTGCTGCTGCCGGCTTCTTGGCTTTGGCTGCGGGCTTCTTCGCTGCCTTCTTGGGCTTCTCGGCGGCCTTGGCTGCCTTGAAGGAGCCGGTGGCTCCGGTTCCCTTGACCTGCACCAGGGCTCCATTCTCGAGTAACCTCTTCACGGCACGTTTAATGTGAGCGGTGTGTTCGTAGCCCTGAGCGGCCAGCGCCTTCTTCACCGCGATGTAAGAGATCCCTTTGCGGTCCTTGGAGGCGGTGACCGCCTTCAAGATGAGCTCAGCGGCTCCGGGACCAACCTTCTTGGCCGGCTTGGCTGCCTTCTTCTTCGGGGACTTGGCTGGTGCCTTTGCCGGGGCGGCGGCGGCGGAGACTTCAGTGGGAGCTTCTTCTGTGGCCATGATGCTGTCAGGAGGATTCTCGGTCTGATGAGACGGAGAGAGAAATCCCAGCGAAGAGAGGAACTTAAACTCACCATGAGAACCGTAGAGACTCAACTCAGTGGCTCACACAGGAGCTGCAGAAAAACTGTGCCACTTTGTGCTTTCTCTTCAGCTAAAACTGTAAAAAATACACATTTAGAGAACGAGTTGAATTTCAAAGGTTAATCGAATTGATAGCGGAATACTTAATCTTCATATAGAAGCGAAATAAAGCTTTGAATATTGTTGTGTTTTCATTGGGAAGCCTTTAAACCTCCTAAAACTACTGCCGTGAGAAGGACTAATCTGCGACTTTTTCCTATAAATGATCTCCTGAACAACTTAAAATGCTTCATATTCTCAATAAAACTAGTAATATAGTTAGGCGAGATGTTGTTTTAAAGACTCAAGGTGAAAAAAGGCAGTAGTTGTAAACAATTATTTGTTAAACAGAGGTAATTCTGCTGTCTGCAAACACACTCCCATCAGGACAGGCCCTGGCTGTGTTTTAAATACAGTCTTTGTTACTCAACAGTGAGAGACCTTCATTTAGCACAGCTTTTCTCATGTACATCACAATACAACTATATTTATATAGTAGTATGATTTATAATAACAATCTGAAATGTGTTAGACAGATTATATATCTAACCCTGTAATGACAGAAAGGCTCTCATACAGACACGCACTCCCTCTGGTAGTATATGAACTCCCTTTAACTGTCAAACTTGTTTTTTATCGAATTCTGAGAAAAATGGAAAGTAATTTATTCTTGACGCAAACACAGGGGATCATGAAATCAAATGAATAATACCCATAAAACCTCTTTGTGTTATACTGTGATCAGAATAATTACATTCAAGGAGATTTAGAAACGTATGACCCTTGTTTGATATAATTTGATTAGTACAAATTATTTATTCGCCAAATTGCTGCCCTCTTATTGCTATTGTGTTTTTACATTTCAGATACTTCTGACCATAACTGTCATAAAATGCTTTGAATATGCGATATAGTCTGAGGTATTGTTCTAATTTGTCAAGAAATGTGCTATTTTTTGTACAATTTATTTAATGAGAAAATGCAAATGTCCCTGTTTTGTGGTGAATAAAGATTATCCTATGCTAAATTCCACTATCCCTTATTTCTTGTTTCTTTTTTACTTATGTGCAAAAATATATAACGGATACATCGCCTTTTTTAAGAACCTATCTCATGGAAAATGAGCATTATGAGTTGGGCAACAACCTAAACAACTGGAGGCTGGGTATTTCTTCATATTTTTTATTTGTATTAAAAAACATCTCTCCGCTGTTGTCAGTGAGTATTTTACAAAGACTGAAACAGCGCCCCTCTAAATTAATGTGTGGTGAAACACAGTATTGCACGCTACACTCACTCTATACTACACCCGCAGTCCGCTGTGTCAGGGACATGTCAAGGAAAGCCCGCCGGCCTTCCCTCCCAACGATTTGATTGGTCGGAAGGAAAGCCCGCCGGCCCTAACGTGCCGTGCGTGACGCTGCATATCACATACACAAGTTGCCTTAGCGACAAGAGGCAGATATGACATCTCCCTTCTACACAATATAATACTTGCAACCAGTGCTGGAATTGGGCCGGTACTCACCGGTACGCAGTACCGGCACTTCTGGTTCTGACCCATGGAGTACCGGCACTTCTTGCTCAGTACCGGCATGCTGGCGGTACTCCGGTACTCATGCACCTCAACACTCTCCCGCCGTTCTTATTATACATCCATATATATATATATACAGCCGCCCGGTACTCAGTAGATGCGTCATGAGGTGCCGAACGGACATTCTCATCGCTCTAACCGCTGGAGTTTCACAGCGGCTGTCAGCTGTTTACTCCTGTCATTCAAACAGAACGTGCTGGAGAGGGGGCGGGGCTTATCTTCTCCATGTAAATACTGTGGTGGAAACGACCAGTGGCGGCGCCAGAGATTTTCTCTAGGGGGTGCTGTGGGGTAGCTTGACGTTTCATAGAGGGTGCTCAAACATTAAGGGTTTCCCATTAATGCACCAGCCTACAGAAGATTTTTTTTTAAATATTGAAGTTAAAAGCATCAATCTGGTGCACTTTGAGAACAAAATGAAGAGATCTATGGATATACTGTATCTCTCAACATACATATGAAACAGAACTGTAAACAGATTTTCTATTTCTTTATAGATAAATCACTCCCCTTTTAAAACAAACCGTTTCAGACCCACTGAGATAACTAGACTAAAGTTAACTATCTAAACACTGAGAGTCCTTTACTTCACCTGAGCTGAGGTTATCTGAGACTCTCCGTCTGACAGGAGAGAGTTCTCCCTCCACCTTGTTGTTGAAAAAGCTCCTTATATCCGTTAGCTTGGCTAGCGAGCACCAGATGCTAACCACAACGATCTCCGGTAGATACCCACCGGTGCGCGAGCTATCGCTCGCTTGCGCACGCACACAAAATGGCTCGTGCCACACACACACACAGAGCAGAGCTTGAATGAAACAGACCCAGAAGTAAGCTACTTGTACTCACAAGGCCTATTATGTGTAGAATCCCTCTCGCTTTCAGTTGGTTTTGATTGAGTGTCCACATGTGGACGTTTAAGGACTAAAAAACGATCCATTTTTCACTTTGCTGTTAGCAAATAATGTGGGGCTCCAGCTAACAGGAAGTCACTCAAGTGTCACAAAGTAATTTAGCCTATGGGTAGGTCAAAAATCTAATGGGTGCTGGCCATTGGCCTAATCATATCACCTGTGTTGGCTTTATGTTTTTGGTCAAACATTTGTTTGTTTCACATTTGCATTGATGTAATCAATAATGTTTCTGATTTAATTTAATAAAAATAATATTAATAATTTTCGAACAAAACACATATTTCTTGGGGGTGCTTAGGGGGTGCTTTGGCAATCCTGGGGGGTGCTTCAGCACCCCCTAGCTCCCCCCTGGCGCCGCCCCTGGAAACGACTATGTCAAAATTAACCTATGACCGTGATTTAATAGTAATACACGTTTCAAAATAATAATAATAATAATGCCGAAGTAACAACATACTGAAAACTGTTAGTAAAACCATGTTTTAATGCTTTACAATTTACATACCTAGATGCACGTGTGTTGTGTTTATGCAGTGCAACTCCCACCCAGTGGGTGGCTATGTAGAGTGATAGAACAGAGCAGGCACGCCCCCGAGAGAAGGAAAGCAAGTCACGTCACAAATTAGCATTTCTAAAATGTTAGCGTGGATTAATAAAAGTGCAAAAAGACAGCGGTTGTCGCCGGAAGAAACTTCAAATACAGAGAATGCTGTGCCTGTGTTGGAAATTGTGTCTGATGGGGAGCTTTCTTTGGTTGATCCTCCTGCTCCAAGTTCTAGTGCATTAGCATTAGCACTAGCTCCGCCGCCTCCTCCAGAGCCTCTAACGTTAGCTGCTGCTGGCTCAACTGCCACCACCAACACCGGGCAAAGCGATGCACCTGACTGCTGGACAACGGACCAGGTGCAATATTTTTGCAAGACCAATGCATGGCTCCTTCTTAAAGATAAGAAGCTAGGATGTCGGATATGCAGAGATGTCAAATCTTTGGGAATGCACACTGGACAAGGACTGAAACTGTCAACTGAATGGGGTGAGTGTGCAGTGTCTCATTTCGGTGTTGACAAGGGCAAACAACAAGCTAGCCTGAGAAAAAAAAATCAAAGAACATAAAGAATCACAAGCCCATGTAAAAGCTGCTGACATCCTTACATCTGCTTCACGTGAAACTATTCAACATCAAGTGCAGTCTATGCATACATCTGAATTAGACACCACTATCAGAGTTTTTCGAACGGCATATAAAATTGGCAAACATAGCCGGCCATTCACAGACATGCCAATTGATTTGAATGTACAGAAACTGAATGGGCTGAACGTGGGCAGGGTTTTGCACTCCAATAAAACCTGTGGCGAAATCATCGACCACATAGTCCATGAGCTGAAGAAAAAAATGGCAAAAGACATTACAGAAAACCAAAGAAAACTCTGTGTTTTGGTCGATGAATCTACCACTATTAGTGGTAAAACGGTGCTTGTTGTGTGTCTACGCTCAGCATTAGCTGATGCTGAGCCCGAAACGTTTTTTTGGGAGCTGATCGAGTTGGATGGAACAACGGCTGATGACATCACAAAGGCGTTAATGGAGTGTCTTGGAAGAGATTTTAACGAGGACTTTTTAGGTCAGTGTTTCGTTTCTTTTGCATGTGATGGGGCTTCAGTCATGCTAGGGAAGAGAACAGGCGTTGCTACCCAGTTGTGTAGTAAATTCCCAAGCCTGTTTGTGTGGCACTGCTCCAATCATCGTCTAGAGCTGGCAGTTGTGGATGTGGTCAAGGAGGTCTCAGGGCTCA